TGGTCCACCCCGGGGTTCTCCCAGTCGTAAGATAACGACGCGGGGGAGCCTGGTCGACTACTCCTCACTGCGCCGGTATTGAGGGATCCGACGCCCTCTGCACCGTAAACGCTTAATCCTCGTTTGTCTATGGTCATTATCAAAGCACCCCATTGCAGGTGGGCGCCGTACCCATGCCTTCAAACTTGCCATATCGTCAACAGAGGATCCGCCAGATGCCAGCTTACCGCATTTGCCCTCCGCATCCAGCAAGTCGGTTCTCGCAAGCGAGCGCCGACTCCTGAAGCGGAGACCTAGGAGCACCACGAGGAGGTGAGTGGACTTGACCGTACGCAGCCCGCCGACTTCGTCGAAATTCCCTGCCTAGGAGGACGCCGAAGCGCCACCCTGGTGTAAGAGAATATCAGCTAGGTCGTGGTATTTGACCCGACCTGGAGGTTTGTGGAAGAGGCATGGTGACCTCGACCAACTGCCCCAGTGCCAGGAAAGCGTGCGTTCAGCCTCATGCTCCCGCCCGAACTCCTAAACTTAACCTATCTTGCAGTTACCTTTTACTGGGAGACACCGATTCCTGCTAGCTATCTGACTTCGCGCCAGAGTCGCTGCACTTTTTCCAACAGCCTCACAGTTCGAACCTTACTCTACGATTACCCTTTACTGGGAGATACCAATTCCCAGCAGCTACCTGACTTCGCGTCAGAGGCGTCTGCGTTTGTCTCTAATAACCAAGACAACCAAACACCTTATCCTACGGTTACCCTTCACTGGGAGATACCGATTCCTACAACGATCTGACTTCGCGTCAGAGTCGTCTGCATTATCTACTCTATCCTCAAATCTTCGGCTCCATTGATACATACTAATTAATCGTATTGGCCCAATTCTCGAATCCACCCCACTCGCAGTGCTCACACGCGCGTCGCTATCGTCCTGGCTCATAACAGAACTGGTGACAGCGGTGGAATACGCTATTATGGGATTGCTATACGTTTAGGCTTTGATGAAACAGACTTATTTAAGTGTTATTGATAGGTCGTGTCGCTAACTTTTATTTAAATTATACACAATTACGCTAGTGACAATCTTCATTTGTTAACTTTTGATTAATGTACTAGTTTTCGCTAGTTACAGTCATACAGTTAGTTACATTTCATTGGTAATATACTAGTTTTCGCTGGTTAATCCACGTATTAAATTATATATACTAGTGTTCGCTAGATACGTTAATTAATAATCGATTGAAAATGGCTCAAGCAAATGTGTCGACAAATGACATAATGAACTTGGCAGCTTCTCTCGCAAACTCTATGTCACTACTGACGCAACGGACGTGTATACAAAACATTAGATCGACGATACCGACTTTCGATAGAGAGAATTCACCTTTAGCGAATTTTGCGCAAAGTGTTGAAGACGGGTTAACCTTGATTCCTGAGGGTTCGGGAGCCGAGTATCTCAGAATAATTCTAACGAAACTCATCGGCCTGGCGCGTAGATGTACATTAGAGCATCAATTTCAAAGTATCAGCGCGTTAATAAAATATTTAAAGAAGAGATTTGCTCTGGAAAAGAGTCTATCGTATTTCCAAGTGGAGATCGCTAATCTACGTATATACGAAGAGGAAAGCCTACAGAAATACGTCGATAGGACTAGCCATTTGGTTTACTGTACGCGCGGAGCTATCCGGGAAAAATACCGGAACAATGCGGAACAGTTCGTTAAAGAAATGGAAACGGACGTTCTGGAAAATTTCATTGACGGGTTATCGGATCGGATATCCTGGAGAGTGTCGGCTCAGAACAGGAGCATAAAAACTCTTGAAGAAACTTACGACGCCGTGCCACAGATAGACAGGAAGCTGAGGAATCGAAGACAGATCCCTCGAAAAGAATCACCAACACGGTGGTCTCGTAAAGATCACCATTCGGAAGATGTTCATTATCGCGAGCGACAAGTGTCGTACCCACAGTCTCCGTCACCAAGTAGGTACAACAGACACAGCGAGCGGTATCCCCGAACATCTGGTTTTGAAAACGAACGAGAAGGGCAGCCACGTGCAGCGGCTTGGACCTTGCGTCAAAGGAGTCCGTCGGTGTCACCTTCCGACCGTTTTCGATCATATGGCAACAATGAATGTACTCTGCGGTACAAAAAGGCATGATAGGAAGTCATGTAAGAAAGATCCACGTAGTCTAAAATATAAACGAGAAACGCGTGATTCATCCGTTGAATCAAACGGTTCTTTAAACTTCGATCGCGCTCGCCATACCGACGACACTGTGAACGAACGCGAACAAGCTGGTCAAAAGACAATACGTTTCAGGGAAAAACCCTCCTTAAACAAACACTTGCACCACTAATCAAAACAAAGATCCCAGAACTGGAATCAGGCACGGGAGAGTTTTTAATTGATGGTGGAGCCGCTATCAATTTAGTCGTTCTGAACGTCCTAAGAGAAAGGCAAAAATAATTTCCTGGGAAGAAATTGAAATAACCGGTTTAACTTCAACTCCTATTCACACTTTAGGAACAACAATCCTCCATATTCACGAAATCCCTGCATTTTTCTACATAGTAAACGAACTTGCAATAGAAGCCTATGGATTAATCTGAAGTCCATTCCTGAAGCAAGAAGAAGTCGAAATTTCCTATTTCCATGGAACGATGGTATTAAAAAATAAACCCATTAAACCTATACGTTTTTCAAATCATCATGATTTACTCGATTCTAGAAGGTCAAATTTTCCAACCAAACATTGCCTCGAAGCGCGAACGAGACATGCCCGTTTGGACTCCGTCCTATTGGACTCGTCCCGATTGGACTATTCCGATTGGACGCGTTCCTCTTCGACTCCGTGCCGATTGGGCTCGTGCCGGTTGGACGCTGTTCCCAATTGGACGCTGTTCCCAATTGGACGCTGTTCCCAATTGGACGCTGTTCCCAATTGGACGCTGTTCCCAATTGGACGCGTTCCTTTTCGACTCCGTGCCATTTAGACACGTTCCTTTTCGTCTCCGGGCGATTGGACTCATGTTGACTTGGAATCGTGACATTTATAAGCCGTAAATATAGTGCGTATAATAAACATTGCTTTTTCAATGCTACTTATGGTGGTATAGTATTGTGATCTATATAGTTAAATATGGTTTGAAATTTATTAAATTTGGATCTGATACAAAATGTTACGTGATTTGTTTATAACTTGTGTGTGATATTATTACGTGGTTTTACAGAAGCGAATAGGTAACGAAAAAGTTTCCGTGTCACCGTGGAAAAAGAAATCTAAAAATTCTGTTTGTATGTGCATATCATAATACAAATTTAGGTAAATGTTTATTTTGTCGAAATAGGAATTATCTGTATACATCGTTTGACAGATATAGGTTAGAGTGAGGGATAGTTTACTGCCTGTTATTAATACAGTCAGACATAATTCTACCAGATTCTGCAAGGAGTTATGAACAGGATACAGTATTGTTGCCTTGTATTACATATGTCCATGCATTAGATCCATAGTACACTTTACCAATGCAATATGGCAATGTACTTCTATACCGCTATCTTTTTAATGTGATACTTACCTATTTCCAACAAGAAGTGGACCATAAAGCATCCTTCAATGAGAAAGTAAGTAAAATCCACAATTAAAAGTAAATAGTGCTTACCATTATTTGATAAGTAGTTTTCTGTGCTTAAACTATGTGTGCTAACTATGTGTAGTAAATAGTTGGCAAGTTGAAATACGATATCCTAACACAGTGCGCAGTGAATGAAATTAAGTGATCTATATATAAAGATTGTATACCCGAGAAACTAGTCTAGCCCCTTAATAGTAATTCTTAATGTTCTACACATCCAGAATAAACATAATATATAAAAGATGTACAGTTTCTATTGTAATGCTTGGACAAATGGTAAGAATGCAATTTCTTATTTGCACTTTTTCTGTATTATATAGTATAAGGTACAGTTCTCATTATCTTCTTCTATCTTTAAATAAATACTTGATTACTTAAAATTTATATATCCAAAAAATGTTATAATAATGAGATGGTTATTTAATTGATAGAAGAAATGAAAGGGAAAGGAGGCAATAAGAGCGAATACATACAATTCATATGGAATTACTTTATTAATTACAAACATTTATTCATTCCATGCATGCATTAATGATTAATATAAATACGTGAAAATTTATTTCTAATCATACTAACGTAGATCACACCGCATCATCTTGTTCTTCAATAATCTGTAACACATAGACGAAACCATATTTTAATCGCACATTAACATAGGGTTTAAAATAAAAATGGAAATTACAATTTTCATATGAACACTACATACAGATCCTTCCGTTGTACTCTCAAGCAGATCGTAGTATTTCAACTGCGTAATTGGAATAGTCTACACTAACGTACATCACATCACATCATCTTATGCTTCAATAATCTGTAACACATACAAACCATATTTTAGGTACAAATTAACGTGGAGTTTAAAATAAAAATAGAAATCATAATTTTCATATACACATTATATATGGATCACTTAACTTAATTTCTTCTGTTGTACACTCCGTCTTGTTGTAGTATTTTTTTAATTTAACTTGCTACTTTTCCTTCTTAAACCAACCGATTCATCCCTTCATTTCCTCTTAATTTGGATGACTGTAACTGTCTAGATCAATCGAAGACTGTAGAAACAGAAAATGCACAAAAATGTACAACGATACTGCATATATACTTTAAGCATACAAAACTACTTATCAAATAATGGAAAGCACTATCTACTTTTAATTGTGGATTTTACTTACTCTTTTGTTGAAGGATCCTATATGGTCCTAAAAAGATAGCAGCATTGAAGTTCATTGTCATGTCGCACTGACGACACTATCGCACTATTAATACAGATCAAAGTGCAAAACGGCTTTTTCTTGTAAATCACCATTAGACACCAGCTGATCATCAACAACATATCACAGGACTCGAGTAATGGGACCTTCAAATATACAATCCCACTAAAAAGAGTTCCGTGTCACGTTCATTGATCTGATTTATTATCATCTTAATCATCCTTGAAAAATCAATCATTTTCTCCTCGGTTATTATCTATTTTTGCCTTACGTACACAGATAACTACATCCAAATTAATATTTTAAATATACAAAACCCAATATTGACATAAAAATTATAGCGTTAAAAATTCAATACTTCCGGCAAAGTTTCAAATATAAAGTCTATAAGCAAAATAGTGTATAAGCATAATTTTCATACAATCTTTATATATAGATCACTTAATTTCATTCACTGCGCACTGTGTTAGGATATCGTATTTCAACTTGCCAACTATTTACTACACATAGTTAGCACACATAGTTTAAGCACAGAAAACTACTTATCAAATAATGGTAAGCACTATTTACTTTTAATTGTGGATTTTACTTACTTTCTCATTGAAGGATGCTTTATGGTCCACTTCTTGTTGGAAATAGGTAAGTATCACATTAAAAAGATAGCGGTATAGAAGTACATTGCCATATTGCATTGGTAAAGTGTACTATGGATCTAATGCATGGACATATGTAATACAAGGCAACAATACTGTATCCTGTTCATAACTCCTTGCAGAATCTGGTAGAATTATGTCTGACTGTATTAATAACAGGCAGTAAACTATCCCTCACTCTAACCTATATCTGTCAAACGATGTATACAGATAATTCCTATTTCGACAAAATAAACATTTACCTAAATTTGTATTATGATATGCACATACAAACAGAATTTTTAGATTTCTTTTTCCACGGTGACACGGAAACTTTTTCGTTACCTATTCGCTTCTGTAAAACCACGTAATAATATCACACACAAGTTATAAACAAATCACGTAACATTTTGTATCAGATCCAAATTTAATAAATTTCAAACCATATTTAACTATATAGATCACAATACTATACCACCATAAGTAGCATTGAAAAAGCAATGTTTATTATACGCACTATATTTACGGCTTATAAATGTCACGATTCCAAGTCAACATGAGTCCAATCGCCCGGAGACGAAAAGGAACGTGTCTAAATAGCACGGAGTCGAAAAGGAACGCGTCCAATTGGGAACAGCGTCCAACCGGCACGAGCCCAATCGGCACGGAGTCGAAGAGGAACGCGTCCAATCGGAATAGTCCAATCGGGACGAGTCCAATTGGACGGAGTCCAAACGGGACACCCCCAACTCATAATCACCTCTACATCGGGGAAGCAGCAGTAATGAACAATAAAGGAAAATGCCACGTAATGGCAAAAACACTAGTCGTCGAAATGGAAATAGAACCAGATGAAATAGAGCCTTACGACATCGTATACACATCAAATGATGATTTTTATCCAGACGTAGAACATCCATTAAAATTCAGGACACAGAAACAAAGAATTCAAGAAATTTTAAATACGTTAGATTCTAGACATTTAAATACAGAAGAAGTTTCTCCCGCTACAGATTTAGTCAAGGAATTTTCCGATCGATTTCTCCTTCCAGGAGATAAGCTCGGAAAAGCCGCTAGTTTTAAACATTCAATTCACACGATAGACGAAATTCCAGTCAACACCAGGCAATATCGTTACCCACCAATACATCAAGAGGAAATTCAAAAACAAGTCAGTGCACTATTATCACAAGGAATAAGTACTCCATCCAAATCTCCATATAATTCACCACTGTGGATTGTGCCGAAGAAACCTGATTCACAGGGAAAGAAACAATATCGGTGCAATTCTCGAATCCACCCCACTCGTAGGGCTCACACGCACGTCGCTATCGCCCTGGCTCGTAACATGAGGATCACCGACATCGAAGGAGAAATTCTGGATACGGTCATCCGAGGATATTTAATTCCGGACCATCTTTCGAAGTCGGGCATCTGAAGCTAACGGGAGTTCGAGGAAAAGCAGTCAATAGCAGTCCGAGGACCAATTGACAGCGAGAGCAAAGCATCTACCAGCAAGCAGCCGAGTGCAGTCCGAGGACCACCGGGACGCGGAACAACGACATCCACAGCATGCAGGTAACTCTACTGCTGTAAGTCCTAACTCGCATGTATCATAACAAATTGTAAACCAGAATCTTGTATGTCGGAACAAGGTAACGATATAGATCGTTTTCGATTACCATATACTAGAGTCATTTCGAGATCGTCTGAATCAATATTTGACAACTATTTAAATTAAAGCCGTCACGTCGACTTCACTTTTTTCCGACTCAGCGATAACATTTCGTAGACGCAAACGCGCACCATCCATACACTTTGATTTCGATTCATTAAGCGGCAGTTGAAACTTTGAACACGTAATTAGGGAAAGAGGATTCCTTATAGAAGAACACGATTTTAGTTGATTGCAAACAGAAAATATGGTATCTAACGTACTAAACAGCCATGTACTATTAAAAGAATTGAGGGAAACGTCTCCCACAAAAGTGTTAGCATTCATCGGTTCGTGTATGCTAACATCAGAGTTAACGACACCAGACAATCGACCACTTCTATTGCGAGCTATTTTAACTACAAAACTAACTGGCAAAGTGGCAATGGAATTAAGATGCCGCGAGATAAACAACCTTGAGACACTCAAAACAATATTACTTTCTTTATATACGACAAAACGAATTTAATCATTGTAGACAGCGAGATTACGAAGCCGTAAGAGAATTTGCTGCCAGACTAGAAAAACTGACAGTAGAATTAACAGAACTCACAATTAATTCAACAAATCGTAATGTAACAAATCAAGCCCTGTCAAGATGCATCTGTTACGTATGCACACCCGTTCTTTTCGAAGATCGCGTTCATTTATTTCATCTACCCCTTGGAATGTGGAGTCTGGTCTTACCGAAGTGCACTCTGCAGCTGTACCATACTTTTCTCAGAATTATCTTTTAATTCGCCTTGCGTGGGTAACCCTGTATCTAAACTTTCCCTAAAGCCCCACAGATGTTCACCTCTGAGTAACGAAAATCTCAACCGCCAAATTTCCATATATGGGAATCACTGACGTATCCCCACCAATATCTAGGGGTATATAAACCCATGTTTTTCGTTACACGGGGGATTAGTACGAAAGAGTTACTTGGTAAAGTCACGTCGATCGTCTTCAGAGTTGCGCTTCAATGAGATCGGGCTTCAGCTCCCTTTCGATCAACATTAACCATATAGATCCGCAAGGACGGTAGAAAATTTATTATGGCATAGAAGCATTCTCGACCCCCGCATCGCCAGTGCGTTAACACCGTGCAACAATTAGGTACTAAGGTATAAATTTTCATAAACTAACCGCGACAACACGACACTGTACAATTGTATTATTAGAATTGTTCAGTTTTGAATATATAATCATTTGTTAACCTTAAAAGGTCTGTTAAATCATTATTAAACCTTCATCATTGGAATAAGCAATCCTAACCAGTGTAACGACCCCACAACATAATAACTTTACCGCTCGAGTTATTATTTGTTTAGAATTAATAGTTGCGAGGCTTTATCCACGACGTGTATCATATTCCAACGATACGATTCAATCCTCACCTAACCTTTGGCGCTCCCCTCCCCGATGGTAGTCCCACATAACCTCGGTTTTTTCCCCCGGGAAACCGAGGTATGCATAACGCATTTCCCCACAATAAAAAAAAAAGGTACCCGACGCGTAATAGCGTAGTTATGGTCCTCACCTGGTCGTTATTGTTGATCAATCTTTTAGGCCACGCGGTACTTACGCCCGTCGTCTGCCTGGGATCCGTGTGTATGTGTCCAGTGACGTAGGTGGTCGTCCAGGTATCCCTGGCTTCGCAGCGCGTTGCGAGGGTCTGGGTGACCTCCTTGATGATCGTGATCAATCGGCGACACATCGATGGTCGCGAGTTTCCACACGTTCGCGGTATCGGATTCTACCGACTTGGCAATGCACGCCGGTGCGTGCAGTTCTCTAATTATTTTCTGTAGATGATAATGACGGCCTCCGTGTCGCGTACGTCCCATGAGCTAATATGTCGCCAAGTACGCAAAGCACCTCGTGCGGCTGATTCGCGCACCTCTGAGTACGCGTAGGCGTGGCCACTCAATTATGCAGTAAGTAGATCCCGTGCGGCTGATTCGCGCACCTCTGAATCAAGCGTAATTGAGGGAATTATTCTAACGAGCTTGTTGAGACGCGAGGTAGAATAATTAATAAGAGAATTCAAACTGAATTGAATAACACTTTTATTTAATAATAAAAATATACTTTATGTTTAAATGCGTAGTACAAACTTAGTATTGAAACCGTAGTGGTTGTACAGAATTGAAGGGGATCGAACCCTGAGTATCGGCGAAGAACGTGACGACAAAGTCGGGCGTTCGTAGCCGTCGACGATATCGGGCGATTGAGCGCTGTGTTACAATTTCAGAGGGTTTATATATCATTCGGAAGTGGTCACGTGATGTTTTTCTTACAGGAGGTTTTTAGAAGTATTAGCTTATAGTTATCTGAGTTTCGGCGATGGTATAATTGTCGGAGGATGTTATTCTTAAAGTTATCGTCGAATGTGTACATAAGATATTCGGCGGATGTTGATATGCGATTACTGAGAATGTTGTTCTAAAGATTACGGCGAAGTTAGTTTGGCGATTAAGATGGAATGTTATTCTAAGATTACAGTGAATATTATTCTAGAGATTAAGGTAGGATGTTATTCTAGAGATTAAGGTACGGAGCTTATTCATACGTCTTAGTCTTATTCTATTTATACATCTTATTACTATCCTTTTCTTAACTATCTCTTATCTCTGTCTATCTTATCTCTAACTTACTTGCTAACTCCAACGTGGGACCCTTGGTCCGACGTAACAACACGAAACCGCCAACAGACAGAACCAAAATCAGAATCGACTGTCAAACGTAAGGAACGACAGACAAAACTCACAACAAACGGACCCCAACAAGAGAACTATAAACACATACCTATTGAATTATGCAGACGAGCCAAACCAACGTCGTACAATGGTAGAAATAGAAGCAAGCGAGTTGAGAAACGCGAAATGTCGAATGCTAGTAGATACGGGAGCAGAAATAACGTTTTTAAAAATCGGTAAAATCATGGGTGAGGTAACCACCACCAGCGAAGTGGTATCCTTGAGGGGAATAGGTAACACCGACATCCCGACCGTTTGCAAAATTAATCGAAATATTAAAGTCGGCAACAGGTTCGTTACACACCCTTGCCGAGTAGTTAGAGATAACTTTCCGATTCCAACAAACGGGATTTTAGGAAACGATTTAGTTACCGAGTTCGAAGCAATAATTCGAACAGGAAGAAATATAGAAATTCTAGGAGAAAAATGGCCATTACTAAGCGAAGAAGAATTCAATCTGCAGTCGCACTCAGAAAGGAATTATAGAAAAGCAAATGCTAAAACCGGGAGTTTTCATAGGAAATTGTTTAACAGAGGCAAACAACGGTACTTGCCTCGTACCAGTAGTAAATCTGACAGAAAAAATAATTCGAATACCAGCACCTAAAGTGCATATGGACACTTGCAACACTGACCTACTTAACGAAACGGATGATCACCGCAGCAGTCAGCAGATGTTCAACACCAGGATTATGACCGGCAGAGATAGAATGCAAGCATTACGAGATACTGTGATTACCGAACACTTAAATAATGAAGAGAAAGACAGTATATTAGAACTCCTTCCTAGAAGGAGACAAATTAGGATTTACTGTCAAAATAAAGCATAAAATACGTCTAATGCCTAATGCGAAACCGGTAAATGTAAAACCGTATCGATTACCTCAAATACACAAAGAAGTACTAGACAAGCAAGTAAACGAAATGTTGAATAAAGAATAGTAGGGCCCAGTACTATCGAGTGGAATGCTCCGCTATTAGTTGTTCCTAAAAAAACAGACGAAGCAGGAAGTAAAAAGTATAGAGTAGTTGTAGATTTTCGAAAACTAAACAATGTAACGGTAGGTGACTCATTCCCACTACCCAACATTACAGAAATTCTAGATCAGCTCGGTGAAGCAAAATATTTCTCCATCCTCGAGTTCGCCTTAGAATTTCACCAAATAGATATGGATTCTGTGGATCGAGAAAAAACGGCCTTCTCAACTCCATATGGTCATTTCGAAATTAAGCGAATGGCCTTCAGGCTTAAGGCTGCACCTCCCTCCTTCCAGAGAGCCATGGAAGCAATATTGGGGAACTGCGTGGCTTAAAATGCTTTGTTTACATAGACGACATAGTAGTACACGGACGTTCGTTACAAGAACACCAAGAAAGACTGACGGAAATTTTCGACAGATTAAGAGATAGTGGTCTAAAGCTACAACCAATAAAATGCCAATTTTTACGAAAAGAAACCATTTATCTAGGTCATGTAATAACAGAGGAAGGTATTAAGCCTGACCCATCAAAACTAAACGCAGTAAAGAATTTCCCAGTTCCAATGAAAGCAAAAGATGTGCAATCCTTTTTAGGATTGGCAAGTTATTATCGTAACTTCATAGAACATTTTTCAAATATTGCAAAACCGCTAATCGAGCTATTAAAGAAAGACGTAGAATTCAGATAGGCGGACCAGGGCCAGAAAGCTTTTGATATTTTAAAGGAGAAATTAACAACAGCACCGTTATTACAGTATCCTGACTTTACTAAATCATTTATATTAACAACTGACGCATCGGGTAAAGCGATCGGAGCGATACTGTCTCAGCAATATGACGGAAAAGATTTACCTGTAGCCTATGCAAGCAGAATATTAAATAAGGCTGAAATTAATTATAGCACAACCGAAAAGGAACTTCTGGCAATAGCGTGGGCCGTTCAACACTTTAGACCTTACTTATACGGTATAAAATTTGCTATAGTAACAGATCATAAACCGTTCACGTGGTTATTTAGCGTCAAAGATCCAGGTTCCAGATTAATGAGATGGAGATTAAAATTAGAAGAATACGACTATGAAATTCGTTATAAAGAAGGAAAGAATAATCGAAACGCGAACGTCCTTAGTAGAATGTATGTGATCGAACGCGGCAGAGGCAGACCGCGGAAAACACAACTGACTGTGGATCAACCGGTAGCGAAAACAGCGAACGCAGCTAAAAACGATTCTGACTCTGAAAATGATAATACACTGATCGATTCCG